TTGACAACTACGTGCCACTTGAGCTCCTTATGAGTGATACCCCGCTTGGCTGCTGTGAGGCGAACTGCAGGATCCAGGTCGGGTATCTGCAAACAAGCATCCTTGAACTGCTTGATGTAGCTCCGGATGGACTCCCCTTCCTTTTGCACTATACCGAGGAGGCTCTCTTGGGTTCACGGGCACCTCTTGCTGGTGATGAAGTGAGAGGTGAAAACCTGCACGAACTGCGCCCAACTTTTTACCGAGCCAGGGCGAGGTTTCGGTACCAGGTGCAAGCCACTCCTTTGAAGGTGGTGGAAAAGACCACGCACATGCAGGACTCGCTGGCTCTTGCCAAGTGCATATGGGATTGGAAGGCGTCCACATGGTCATTTGGATCAAAAGACCCATCATACTTATCCAGAGGTGGGAGCTTGAAGTCCCTTGGCATGGGGACAACAAGGAGTTATGGAGATAGCGGGGAAGAAATGGAGAGGAGGGGGGTAGCTTTCACTTCACCTGAGCATACCTCATCTTTCCCTTTGAGCTCGAGAGAGGCTCTGGAAGCAGTTTGGCGGGCTCGCCGGCATCTTCGCTGCTGCTTTGTCGGTCGGCGTTGGTGCTTGACGCTTCAGTGTCACCGAGCTTGATAGGCTTAGACCGCTGGTAACAACTTTGGACCGAAGGGCCCTGTTTGAGGTCCGTGGCCAAGACCTCGAACGGGTTCTCCGTGAGCGGGAGCTCGAACTGCAAGGGTTGTGGTGACGCGGGCTTAGTCAGCTGGGAGGCCCCCGACCTGCCCACAGGCTGTGAGGCAGGAGTGGTCGAGCTCTCCTTCTTGCTGCGGGAAGAGGCTTGGCTCCTGGCAGGATCCTGGATCCGGGACGCCTCTCCTCGGCGAGGTCGCTCACCTTGGCGGGACGACTTGGTCTGCTTTGCGGCTGGGTGCCAGGGAGGAAGCGGCGGTTGGGCCTGAGGCAGCGAAGGAAACTGCTGCTGGTACTGGTACTGGGAGACCTGGTGCAACACTTGTTGTTGGTAAAGCTAAAACTGTTGAATTTGAGCCTGCATGGCCCGCATGCATTGCACGAAGTCCTCTAGTTGGTTCGGGTTGGCCGCTGAGGGCACAACTGAGGGTTCGACAAAGGTTGCTCCGGCTGTAGAAGGGAGTGGAGCAACGACGGGTGCCCCTGTAAGAGGCACATTCAAACTAGGAACTCCTTCCGCTGAGAGGGGGACGGTAAACTGTCCGATGCAGACAGTGGGAAGCTGGGGCTGTTCCTTGTAAGCGTTCCGGATGGCGCCACATCCGGCACTACTGGGAGAAGCCATGAAGAATGCTAAGTTTTTTGGAATAAGGAACTTGTGAAAGCTTAGAGGAAGGCTTTTAGAAGCGCTTCCCACAAACGGCGTCAAATGATGCGGCACGATCCGGGCACTCTTGGCTGGTTGCTGACTGGCTCTTTGTTGGCAACAGACGACACCTGAGAAGAGGGAGAAGAAGGATTCTCGAGGATTTACCCGGTGGGAATACTCCGAAGCTTAAGTTAGAACGTTGGGGAAGGAAAAAGAGTGCGAAAGCTAAGAATGTAGGTCACGCTTTATCACTGTGTTCGAGAGGTTAGCTCGCGAGCAAGTAAAGACTCAAGTTGAGAGTACGAGAGTGTGTAAGTATTCAAATGTTTGAAGATCCCCTCTCTCCCTCGCCTCAAGGGCTTTTATAGGGGCGTTCTTGTCAAATCGGGCGTAACTGCCACTGGACGCCTGTCGCAGCCGTTACCTGCCAAGACTGCGCAGGTGATCGTTACAACGTATTTCCTGCTCAAATGAGTGACACATCCCAAAGGGGTAGGCATGCCTCCGCCTGTCGAGAGATGCGGGTGCATACTGTCAAAAGGACAGGGACTGCGACGTCAGTCGAGAGATGTGGCGCAGTCTGATCAGTACGATTTTGTCAGACAGAAGCTTCCTAAGAACGTTCGCGCTGCTCATTCGCGAGCTACTTTGTAGCGAGCTTAGTAGTACTTCGGGGTTCCCTTTATTAAGGTCGGTCGCTGGAGTGATTCTTCCGCTTAAGGGCTGGAGCAAACTGGTTTCCCTAGCTCGCGAGATGAAACAACTGGAGTATTCCCTTCTCGGTAGCGAGCTGCTCTATAGGCTCATTACTTAGTCGCGATTAGGCTATGATGTTGAGCTGTTGCCCGTGTTGAGTCAGGTCCACGTGTCATCATTTCATAGGTCGGGTCAAAATCATCCTCCATCAGGTTGTATTAGGCATTTGTTAAAATTTCTTTGCGTAAGAGGGAGATCTTCATCTACAAATATTGTTCATTGAAAGTTGAAACTCGAACCCAGGGATTCTGGGGTAGCCAAGTTGGCGATTTGGGGTTTTGTTTCAGGCTGAAATGGAAAAATCTTGAATGTTGATTATCATGGTGGTTTGTCTCCGAAAGCAGATGTTCCACTAATCTTTAGGCTGCGTTTGGTTGCAATGCAAATGCAAATATGTACACTACATATTTACCCATTTTTCAGTTCATGAATGCAAACACGGTTCACATTTTAAACCGCTTTTGCATTCATCCTGTTTGTTTGAAATCAGTGCAAAGGTGTGGCCCATCATTAACTGCTCCAACTATCTTATGCTCCAATACCTCAACTTTGGTCAAAAAGTTAATTATCAAATGAATACAAATTTGTATCCAAAAAATCAGTACAATAATGCTCTCTTTTTAGATTTAGAATACAAAAGTGTCAGAAAATGCAATTTTACTTTGATAATCATTACTTTTTTATGTTTCAAACAAGTGCTCACAAACGCGAACTGGAGTGCATAAATACCACGGTTCAGTGTTTGTATTGCAAACAAAGGCAGCCTTAGGTAAAATTCTTCATAAACTTTCGAATGAGGCAAAATCCTCAAGGAGGTGCTATTGTATGAGATTCAAACCTGAAGCTTCGTCCAATGTTGCCACGATGAGAGAGCTCGCTTTGAAGGTTGAAGGAACTTTTGAATGAGGCGAAATCGTTAAGGAGCAAAAGTTATTTCACCATCTTTGGAGGCTTGAACAAGAGAAGACCAGGTTGAGAGTGAGAGATTACTCTCTCTTTCGGTGAAGGTGAAGATATGAGTATAGAGAGAGAGAGAGAGAAAAGCTTTAATAAACCATAACTCAATCTAATAATGTTGATCCATGGTTACCCTTGACCCAACCCCACCCGACCCTTTCATTATTTTAAAAGGCTTAAGCCTAAGCGTGAGGCATATGACTTGAGGCGAGGTACACAGGTTTTACTTCAAGGCTTAAGCCTCACAATTTTGATGCGAGGCTTAAGCTTTTGTCAAAATAAGGCGTATATTGAGGCATAAAAAGGCATAAGCCTCAAGTATCAATGATTACTTAGTGAATTAATGCAAAAAATATATATTTTTGTAATTCAAAACATATATAAAAATAGACAAAAATCAATAATTATAGCCCAAATAAAAAATAAAAATGAAAAACTAATAAGGCAAATCAAATTATATTAGTTTTTATTAGTGTTTTAAGAGAGTTCAATACAAAGAGGTCTAATCAAGTTCTTAGTTTCTTTTAGATAAATCAAGTGAGATTTTTCTTATGATTCTAAATGTAATGTCCCGAGTTTGTTATTTTTCTCATTTCTTCTACTAATGGATAATAATAATAATAGATTAAATCAATTAAGTTGTCTCATTTCTTCTAAATTGTTTTTTTACATGAAATGCAAACTGTTTATAATTGTTACTTAATTATTTATTATTTTATTTAATGCTTAGATGCACTTATTGCTTATAAACTTCTAGTTTATGGATATGTGTGCTTTCTATAATTTTAATTTGGCATATTATATATTATTTTCATTAACTTATAAACTTTAATTAATTTTTCATTAAATTTTGAGACTTACGCCTCACCTTTTTGGGCCATTACGCTTCAACTATGCATTTAGCCTTTTTAAAACCTTGGATCCTTTTCCTTACCCTAATGGGTCATTTGACCCATATTGACCCATAAATAGATAAAAATGAATTGGGTCAAAATTGCGAGTTTTAGGCTAACAAATCTCATAAATAGAATTTTAAATTTGACTCAATTAACAAATAATCCTATATATTAGGCTCGAATTTAACTCCAAACTTAATTTAAACCAAACTGAATTCAAAGTTTTTACTAACTGAACTTGATTCGTTTCCATCCCACGAGGCCACAGTATCATCAATAATATCAATAATATTCGATATTTTGAACCTTTAAGCCTTACCCATTGAGTCCGCCCTTCAACCCTGTTGGACACAGAAACCACACAAAAATCACTTCAACTTGCGCTTATAATGGGCAGCTGAGCTCACCATAGTAATCGACAATAGCAAGCAACCACTACAATTCCACTCTTCAATAATTGCAAGAAACCACATCATAAACAGATCTCAGCTAGGTTAAGTTGTTATCTACCATTGTGCTATAAGACATTCACCATCTTTTTCTTTGGTAGACCAAGAAATTCACATTCGAATATCACCCAAATGTGGGAATCCCTAGGCGCGGCGGGTGTTGACCTTCAAAATCGAAATACACCGACAGGTCTGGACGTGAGAAAATCAATTACATTGGGCCCTACTGGGCTATTAATTCTCTTATCTCAGTCACTGAAGCCCATTACTCTACCATCACCCACTAGCATTTGGACGGCAACAGAGAAAATAAAAAAGGATTCGGTATCTCAACGAGGTTGAAACGAAGAAAAGCACGACCTTACGTGCTATCGAGTTTTCAACCGTTAGTTCGGTATCTACGTGCTATCGAGTTTTCAACCGTTAGTTCGGTATCTAACTACTTCAATGCATCATCATTGGCGAGTGCCGGCTAGTTACCGTTTCCCTTTTTCAAACCCCAACCTAACGGTTTTAAGCTCGAGTGACGTGGAGATGACAAATAATAATAAAAGAAAAAAAGAAATCTGTATTGTCTCTTGGCGGGTATAACAGGTATAACTACAAGTCTCCGCCGAGGAAGCCTGGGGCCTCTATCTCTCATCTCTCTCTGTTGCGAATCCGATCAAGGAAAAGGAAATCGCGGGTGGATTTGGGAGAGCGAGTCGTGCTGGAAAGCGGGACGCACTGAAACGTCGGAAGCTATACACCACAGAGATGTGGCATCGAATATTAATCCGACAGAACCTTCGCTAATTAAAAAATTGCGAAATTTGATTGGCTCCCGTTCATTTCGGTTGGTAAAGATTCGAATGCAGGCTCTATTATATAGAGGTTCAATTGAGTCATCAAGCTACGCTGGCGGTTATCTTCATTAACGGCGACGAAGAGACGTCCTTCCGGCTCTTGGGAGACCAAGAGCAGTCCATGGACGTCTCTAAGGTGGAATCTGGTCCGTTCAAAGTACTTGGCGGAGAACACTCTGCGAGCGAAATCCTCGATACTGCTCACCAAATCAGCCAGGGTATTTCATTTCTCCTGTACTTTTAGATATTTTCAGTTTTGGGTTGTCCTTGATTGTCGCTTTTATTGCGAGATTTCTTTTACGGCTGTTTCGTAGTTCGAGTGTTTCTGTAAGGTTGACTGAAGATGATAATTTTATGGATAAAATGATTAACATTGGCTTAGGTGACGCAAAATAGATATGAAAAAGCCCTGAATTAGGGGTTTCTATGTTGCAAGGAAACACTAAATGTTGCAGAAATCGGGTTCTTGATTGTCTGTTTTAATGCGTCACTAATTTTCTTGTATACACGAGTCTATTAAAGTTGAAAGAGAGGTTCCCTCCCCTTCTCTCTTTTCCTTAAGAAAAAATTCTATCACTTTAGAGCTAGCAAGTGGAGGATAGATTGGATAGTAATCTTAATGGGAAGTCTCCGTAGATTATGAAATTTACTATCTACTTATTGATTTTCTATTTTTATTGGTTAAAAAGGATCTGGATTGCTCTTTTTCCACATGCATGCCATCCTTGCTCAGGAACATTGCTAGTTTTGCTTGTATATACAAAGAGAGTCCCTTTTTTTTCCTTTAATTAATAATAACGTACTACTCTAGAACTAGAAGGTGCAGGATAGTAATCTTAAATAAGAAGTCTCCATGGATATGAAGTTTGCTATCTACTTCTATTGTTTTTCTACTTTGATGGCCTAAAAAGGATCTGGACTGTAACTATTTTTGTTTATTCATGTCATCCTTGCTCAGAGAAATTGCTAGTTTTGCTTGTATCATTTCATCTCCACATAATATATTAAAGTGACAATTATTTTTTTTTTAATTTACAGATTTTTTTTTTCAAGTTGATGAATTTTCCCTTTTCATCTTTTTGGTCATTTAGATTCATGGCTTCAGGTAGCATTCGTCCTCACCACTGGGGTGAACAGTGCATATGTACTGGGATATTCCGGTACAGTCATGGTACCTTTAGGTTGGATAGGTGGCACAATTGGCTTGGTTGCAGCAGGGGCAATGTCATTGTACGCTAACATTCTTCTAGCCAGACTACATGAAGTTGGTGGAAAAAGGCATATCAGATACAGAGATCTAGCAGGACATATATATGGTATGGTTAAGGATTCAGGATCCTCTTATTTCCATTTCATGCCATATTGTCTTCATGTCCAATTTCTGTTTGTTTGTTTTTTTTTTTATTTGATGGGTTAACGTTTGGATACAAGATTCATTGTTAAAAAAGACAGTGGGTGATGGTGGTGGAGATTTATGCTTGCATTATAACAGCTAAAATTAAAATGTTCTTTTTTTGTACTTATTACTACATATCATCTGTTCAATTTATTACAAGTGCACTTTGTTATTTGGTTTGACAATATAATTAAAAACCTCCAGGATAAATTCTAAAGCACTAAAACAATTTAACAAGCATTACAGACAATAACAGTTATTAGTGACAACTAAGGGTGTAAACAGGTTGGCCTTTGCTCATTTGGGCTCAGGCTTGTGATTTAACCCATGAGCTCATGCTCATTAGCCAGGCTGATGTTTTTTGCTCAGCTCATATTATTTTATGTAATATTTTGATAGTAGGGTCCCCATAACCCAAATTTAGAGGCTTTGAGATCAATAACTATTTTATGCATCATATAAATTATCATCATGTATACTATACTGCTTATGCAGGTTGAGCTTACTCAAGCTCAGCACAGGCTCATTTAGCCAAAAAGACTCAAATTCAGGCTCAGTAGCTAGGCTCGTGTACAGCCCTAGCCAACTATAAACTCTCAGTTGTTAGGGTAAATTACAGATAGATACCCTGTACTTTGGGGGTAGCGACAGATAGGTATTCTGAACTTTCAATTGCAACACTTGAGTACCCTGAACTCTCAAAAATAGACACTTGGGTCCATCTGTTAGTATTCTGTCAGTTAAGCATTATATAATGTCAAAAATACCCTTCTCATGTATTTTTGAGATCATTCTATGGAGTAAAATCATCACCAGAGAATGTCATCGTTGGAAATTTTGAATATATTATTTGCTGTCCATGTGAGAACATCATCGTGGGGATATGTTTGGTTACCTGAGAATGATCTTAAAAAATACAATATAAGGGTATTTTTGGCATTATGTAATATTTTACTGACGGAATACTAATGGATGGACCCAAGTCTCTATTTTTGAGAGTTCAGGGTACTCAAGTGTTGCAATCGAAAGTTCAGGTACCTATTTGTCACTACCCCCAAAATACAGGGTTACCTATTTGTAATTTACCTCAGTTTTTATTTACTTACACACATGCCATTATATAACTTTGGACGGTAATAACATTCACTAACAGTTTAGAACTTCTGTTGGCATATTGTTAGAACCATGCTTGGATGATTGACTTATGTTTTGATTTGAAGCAGTCCCTTATTGCAGGTAGGAAGGTTTATTTTCTCACATGGGCATTGCAGTACATAAATCTTTTCATGATCAACACTGGATATATTATTTTGGCTGGTCAAGCTTTGAAGGTAAGATAAATTTTAAAGCAATTGCTGAAGATGCAGCACAACATTTTGATTAATCTATCATAGGGTCTTATCTATGTAAAGGAATGTAACTTGGGAGATTTAATATCTTGAAGTGCTTTACTTTCTTTTGTTAATTTTAATGATATTAATAAATGATACCGATATAGAGAAACTACTTGAGTATTTCTATTATAAATGTTCCAACAAGAACTCTGCTTCACCAGCTATAACTCCCTTTAGCTTATTTAAGTTGTTTCCTGAATATGCCCTAGTCTCCTAGATCTTCTTTTAATGTACACCTTTGCCGTACAGGCTATCTATATTCTCTTCAGGGATGATCACATCATGAAGCTTCCATACTTTATTGCAATTGCTGGATTTGTTTGTGCCATGTTTGCTTTCGGCATACCGCATTTGTCTGCCTTAAGGATTTGGCTTGGATTTTCAACATTCTTCAGTCTAATATATATCATTATAGGATTTACACTGTCGCTTAAAGATGGTAGGTGCTTCTATGTCCTATGATTAGTTATGTACTGTAAAAGTTTAATTATGTCAAATATTTTGYAAATTCTCTTCCTTAATTATCTTTGTTTTTCATCTTAAAAAAGAAATGATGTTTATTTTTTCATATTGTATATTCTAGTTATCATGACCTTCCTTGTTCAAAATAATGTCACACTCATAAAATCATTGAGTACATTTTTAACTGTATCTTTACCTTCTTATCCTCTTGGTATTTGTCCATTTTTACAGTGCCAAATAAGAGATGGGCATTCTTTGAGACCAGGGACTAGCTTTTGTATCCTGCTTGGTACAAAGTAATGTCCCACTCCCTTTATGTGCATTGTCATGATGAATACCTGATTCTAGTACTTCCAATATTGAATCAGTTTTCTCAATTTGGTTCTGATATTCCCAGCCTCTCTGGCACTGTGCTACTTCTAGTGCAAGACTTGTGGTTGTTARTATTCTTCCAACATGTATGTTGCTGTTTTGTTGTTTTGGATTCTAATTTCTAAGCAGGATTTGCATTCTTGGATATTGGGGAAGGGAAGTACTGCACTTGGACTAAGGTAGCAAAATTCTATGGAGATTCCTGCACAGAGATGTGAAATAAAGAAACATGGAGAAAACTTAGATAATTATGAGATAGTGTTAATAAAGAAATATTTAAGCACTAGTAAACAAGAGACAGGAATGGTGAAAAATAGGCTGAGAATAGTGTGAGCCCTCTGAGTTTAGCTATTAGAAATGGAAGGAGTGTTAGAGTGTTAAAGAGAGAAGTACAAATTTGCATCAGATGTTTCACCTAAAATTAGAAACATCATTAGAACCTTTGCCCAACTAGGGATGCAACTTGGGTTGGATTAGTTAACAATTTGTCAAATTTTGAATGGGCCTTAGCCAGATGTAGTTGTAATCTATTTTACCTGGATATGGAAAGGGCACAAATGGATTGGATATGAAATTTACAGTAAAAATTGAAGTATCTGACATGAATCATGATACAGCATACAGCATCCTTGTACAGCTATCCAGGTATCATAGGTTGATATTCTTGAACTTGGGCAACTCAACTCGCACCTCTAGGTACAAAGATTCTTGGAACTAGGATATTACATGGATATTACACTTTGCGATGGTTAGATATGGCCTACTCCTCTAAAACAATATCAATATCAGTTGCTGAACTATATTATATAGGCAGCTTGGCAGTTATAGTAGCATTAGTGTTTGATTTATATTACAACCTTGAAAACTCAACAGTAAAGCATGAGTCCAGACTCTTGAAGAGAAATTTGGTACTTATCCATCTTATTTTGTTCCTTGTTAAAAAGGAAAAAGATAAAGGCCTCGTGGTCTCTGAGGCTCTGTGCTATGTTTCATTAATCTTGACCATGTGCAATATGAAAGAGAATAACTGTTCTCTGGGGAAATCAGAAATTAGGGTGATTACCCCTAGAAGGTAAAGGTTAAAAAAGGGTATGAGATGGTGACGTTGATCTTGGATTTGCAAGAGGAAGTAGTGTAGATCTCTCCATTTTAGTTGGCTTCTGTTTTTTTTTTTTTTTTTGTAATAAAGGGTCTTTCCATGTGGTTCTAATAGTTTTAACCTGAACCTAATGAATTGTGGATTTTCTGGAAATTGATTTAATTAAGTAGCACTAAGATTTTCTTTTGCATGTTGGAGGCATGAAGACCGAATCCAGTCTGTCATTGGGGTTTTTGGTTGCTTCAAGAGACATTTAAGTTTATCTTTCAATCAAATATTTTTAAAGGCCAAAGTCATAATTGAGCTGGTTGGGCTTGGAGAGGTGTGAGATTTAGTCTGGGAGGACATGTAGTGGATGAGCCGGCATCATTTCCCAATTCCCAAAAGTTAGCCCCACCTGACAAACCATTCAAACTTCTTCATCTCCTCTCGTCCACCTTGATGTAGAACAAGTTGCTGAAAAGTTTTTAGAGGCCTAGGATCACAAAGAAAAGAAGAAAAGAGGCCAAAACAGGTGCTGAATCTTCAAATGTCCATAACTTTTGATCCAGGCATCCATTTTTGACATGTCATTAGTCAAAATGATAGTCTCTATGAGCACTACATGCTGACAAGTTCCATCATTTTGGTCTCCAAATGGGGGATTTTTCTAAAAACTTTCATTTTATGGTAAGYTTTGGCATCCTTTTCATTTTAGTTTGTTATGAGTCTGAGTTTGATTAGAAAGTCTTCTTTTAGTAAAATACAATGTTTTGGAAAGATTTAGCCCAATTAGGGTTTTATTATTTTTACTAATTTTACTATTGTAGGAAAGTTGGGCAGTGCCTATAAATAGACCATTGTACAAGCTCAATTTCAGTGAATTGA